ACATGTCATATATATATATATATAATATATATATATATATATATATATATATATATATATATATATATGTTATATATATAATATATATGAAATATATATATATATAATCGTCTATTATATATCTTCTATTAATTATTCTGCTAGTATGATAACAAACATACATGCACAAAGGTGCAGAAAGATATAGATAAGTGTTTGTTAAACTTCTTTCCAATGTACAGAGAATTGAAATACACAAACAAGGACACAATTCAAACCTGAAAAACAATAGTTTTATTCATATAGAAATCCATGTATTTATTAGATGATTTATTGGTTCAACTTTTCATAATCATGTTCAACCCACAGAGACTGGGCCAAAATATACTGGTAGGCTATTCAGAACATATGCACTACAAGTTTTCAACAGCAGAGGTCATCATAGAGTTTGCGATGCATTGAATGAATGAACCTTTTTCCGATACAATTGGCTGGAAAGCTTCACTGGTTCAGAAAGCTTCACTTTGCCATCACTACTGCATAGGGTCCCTCACCTTCACTGTTTATGACTTGCCATGGAAAAGAAGACTTTAATAGTCACAACGGCAAAAGGCCAACGGGCAAAAACACACAGGAACCAGGGGAAAACCGGCAGGCAGGAACTACGAACATCCAATACGATTGACAGGGACATTTGTGACAAAAGACAATGACGCAACAAGTGACAGGAGACACACACCGCTTAAATACACTAGGGAGGTGCAGGTGATTGGACACAGGTGGAAACAATCAGGGGATGGCAGGACAAGGCAGGAAGTGAAGTTACCCAGGGAGACAAGAAGCAGTAAACTACAAAATAAGACAGGAAATAAAACCACACCGTGACAAATGCGAGGGAGACGCACGTCTTTCAGGTAAGGCTAGTGTGAGATGTCTTCCGGTTGTGGGATGTTTTCTTGCTTTACTGGGATGTGGCTGTGTGTAAACACCTTTGGCAGTTCGATGTATGTGTTTTCTTCAATACCACGCACTTCTAGGTCTGAAAGAAGACTATTAATCAATTTGTGACCGTTAGACTTGTCTTGACCCATTGTGTCGAGAAGAAACTGGGTGGGCTTTCCTTTATAGTTTAGTGTTTTTTGTAGCTCTTCACTACAACATGTTGCAGTGCTCCCAGGATGTCCGCCCACCATTTGAAAATCAACCCCGACAAGACTGAACTACTTCTCTTTCCCGGAAAAGATTCGCTTACCTAGGACCTGACATTCAACTTGGAAACTCCGTACTAACGCTCACTCTGACCGCAAAGAACCCACACACAACATCTGCCCACATACCATGCTGTGAATGGATCGGGTCCAGCTTACATCCAGGACATGGTCAAACCCTACATCCCAACCCGCACTCTCCGCTCTGCATCTGCAAAACTACTCGTCCCTCCCTCACTGAGAGCAAAACACTCGACTAGATCTCGACTCTTTGCTGTCCTTGTGCCGAAATGGTGGAACGAGCTCTCTGAAGACACCAGGACCGCAGAGAGCCTTCACATCTTCCGCCGCAAACTAAAGACACACCTCTTCAGACTCTACCTCGACTAAAGACTAACAAATTGTAGCACTTAAATTGTACTTGTAACGTCACTCATCTATAGCAAATTGTAAATTGGCTTATTTGAGGAAATTGCACTTTCTTGTTTCTTGTTCTCCTGAGTTTGTACCCTATGGTTGAATGCACTTATTGTACGTCGCTTTGGATAAAAGCGTCCGCTAAATGACATGTAATGTAATGTAATGTAATGACATGTAATGTATGAGGCATATGTCTCTACATATCGTTCACTCTTTCTGGATTTCAGCTTTACTGGTACCACAGCTAAAACACACTCTCCTCCAGCCCCAGTGCTTCCACAAACCTCTTGATCCAGTGATGCGCAGGCACTTGAGATAGCTTTGCTCTCTTCAACTCCTTCTGTTGCAGCATGTTCTTTAATGACATGGAGTATGTCTGGGTGGCCCTGGGAACAAGTCTGACATGTCATTCTCTTTTTGCAATTTTTACTAAGGTGCCCCTTTGTAAGACATCCAAAGCAAAGACCTTTAGACCTCAGGAAGTCTATCCGTGCTTTGTTAGTCAGATCTTTAATCTTATTGCAGACAGACAGGGCAAGGTTCTTCTGACAGAATAAACATGGTTTGTGGAAAGCTGTAGCAACATCTTTAACTGGGCTGCTTGTCCTTGCCGTTGTCCCTGAGGTTGTGTCCTGCACACCTGTAGCAAAGCTGCTTTCGTTTTGAGCAGTTTTCCTGATGTTTCTGTCTCTAGTTTTATTCTTTTTCTGAGTGACTTGGTAACTCTCCACCACAACTCCGAAAAGAAAATCCAGAACCACCTTTGCCTGCCGATCAATGAAGTCCACTAGGTTAGAAAACCTTGCTCGTCCTCTCTCTTGGATGTCAAATGCCGTCTTTCTCCACTTCTCTCTAAGTTTGTAGGGAAGCTTTGAAATGACAACTCGCATGTTAGTAGGATTATCCATTTCCTTCATGTATTCTATATCATCCGTAGTGTTTCTACAACCAATCAGGAAAAGGGCGTAGGCACTCATCTCCGTAATGCTTTTGTAGTAACCTCCTGGCCTCTGAGTAGCCTCTTTCTGCTGACATGTGCTCACAACTGCGAACAAGCTTGTGTGGTTCCCCACTGGTATACTGCTCCAAGTAGTAAAGCTTGTCCTCATAGCCATCAGTATTGCTATCCACAGCATGATCAAAGGCCCTAATGAAAGATCTGTAAGTAAGAGGGTGACCTTTAAACACTGGACTATCCCTGCTAGGGAGGTAGGACATAGTCTGCTGCTTGACAAGCATTGCAGTGATCTCATTTTGCCTCTGCATGACTTCATACAGCCCACTTTCATTGTTCTCAAGCCGATGGGGATCATGATCATGGTCTCCTTTCTTACTTTGAGAAAGACTTCTTCGATGTATAACTGCTGGCTCTTTCCTTGGCATTGTCATGCTCTTCTAGCACCTTAAGCTTTGCACTGGATTCCCCACTAGCAGTATCAATGTTTAGTTGTTCCAATTTAGCCTTCATCTGCATTTGCTCAAGTTCAAGTGCGTGTTTCCTTTTTAATGCAGCTGAACGTGCAATCAGAGCTGCATGCTCTGCTTCTTCCTTAATGTGCACCGAGCAGCCTGTGGTTACAGATGAAGCTACTGAGCTAGAGCTCACAGATGAGCCGTGTTTACTCTTACAACGTCTTTCTTTCCCAACTTGAGAGACGATGTCCTCCGCATTAACATCGCATTGTTCAGATTAATTTGCTAAAGTATTTCCAGTGGCACTGTTTTGCTTTCTCACTTTTTTCCACATTGCAAAACACCAGTTTTCAGTATTTTCCACAAAGTCTCTAGTGGGTGCTGATCTTGGTTCAAACCAATTATGTTGATCTGCTGGACCTTCGTCTTCATCCAATCAAGCTACCACTTCAGCATTATCATCCTCAAACTCTTTGAACGCTTTGCAAAACTTTTGACTGAGCATCTCTTCCACTTTCTTTACATCTCTGCCATCGATTTTAAGGTTTTCAATAGTTTTCATCATTGCTGTAAGTTGAGATAGTTTAACCTCTTCTAGCTCCAATAAGCCGCCTGATTCTGTCTTCCGAAGCTTTTTCAGTGGGCTTTGGCGCCCTCTTGTGGTTAGAATCGGCCATGGCAATTGCGCCGTCTTGCTACACAAAGTCGCCTACATTTGCTTCAAAACGGTCCGTTTTTTCTTCATGAGCTAATGTCAAACAACGTCTCTAAGTATGCACCAATCTTCCCAAGATAGCCGTTCTCTTATACGTCACACGAGCCACGTTAGCTAGCTTAAGCCGGTTAGGTAGGATGCAGCATTTCCATACTGAAGGACTGTCGGACGCGGGCCGAGCTCAGACAGAAAAAGTCGGCCCGATCCATCCATGCTCTAACGCGGCCTCAAGAGTTTCTACTTGAGGCTTCGTGGACCTCTTGAGCCGTGAACAATCCTTCCGCCGCTTCGGTTGGCAGATTAACGAAACATTGACCCGAAGACACGGTCGGGAGGTGAACGTTTCGTTCATCTGCCGGATACAGATCTTGAGATCGTTTTTCACGTGACCTGCATTCGTTTAGTAGAGGAAACAGTTACCTTATTCCCTTTCGCGTGACCGCTGTTTTTAGTATAGAAACGTGAATTATATTCGTTCACAAGTCATAATGACTGGTTTTGTTATTTTCACTTTACATTTACACTTGCAGTTTAGTGCAGTGTAATTGTTTGCCGTCATAATTGAATGCTAGTGTGAAAATAAATGATCACTTCAAATCATCCAGACTGTCATGATAAATTATTTTAATGCAGGAATTTATCTTATCTTGTTTCTACTTCGTTGCCAGGCCCTCCTCCTTTTTGTTTCTACAAGAGCGTGTGGATTCCGCCTTTGCCTGTGCACCTTTTGTCTCGCATTAGTTTATTTTCCTAGTAAAAGATTCCATACCTGGAAAGAATTTTTTGTTGCCTTATTGCTCTGCAAGTCCTGACCCCTCACAACGACATACCTAAGAATGTTTCTTTTGTTGTGGAATATTTCATTGTAACTAGTTCGGGAGAAGAAAATTATTTGTTTCTGGGTTTATCTAATAAAACAGTCTTGATGAATGATCAAAGTTGTAAAAGTAAATGTATTGCTTGCAAGCAGGAGGTCAAATACACAAGCAGGTATTACAGTGCTCTGTGGAGATGGCGTCTCCAAGCAGTCACAGCACGAAGCTTTAATACGCACACAAGGAGGTTGAACACAGTGGCAGGTGGTCTGAGTTTCCACTGAAACTTCCACCGACAAATATAAAACTACTAACAAAGCCGCCGGAAAACGACCTCGGTGACAATTGGTTAACTTCAAGATGGGGTAGCAGTTCCTTTTTCGGAGAGTCTGTGTGAGAGCATGTTGACCCGCCCTTCTTCATACACAGCCGCAAACGGAAACTGAGTCATTCTGCTTTAAACACGTTAAACTTTAATACAGACAATTATCACACTTTTAGCATAAGACTGTTATAACATGTTTTACCGTTACACTTTACCTGGGAAATATGACAGGAGATGTTGTGTGAGAGGACAGGTATCTGCTGAATATTCTGCTAGCAGATAGTAAGAAGGCCATTATAAAGAGATGCACAGGACAGAACCACCAACACTAGAGACAATGTGGAAAAGACATGAATCGAACAATATTGGGCTGTTAAATGTTCGTTTGGACCCTCGAGGGGGCATTACTTCTTTTTTCTCGTCCCGGGTGGAAAAAATGAATCAAAAGAGTCAACTGGCTCAAATTTAAAAATCAAAAGTATTTAACTAAACAAAGTGAAAAGGAATAAAATTACAAAGTGAAAATGTGACAATGCGAATAGTGAAATATTTCACAAAAATATAGATAATTCTCGTCTAATGTGACTTATCAAAGCGACTGCAGGAAAATTCTACCAGTTCTTTCCTTGTGTGACGACTTGAAGAGACAGTGAAGATTAACTTGTTTTCATTTTTGTAACCACGGCACTTCCTGTATCTAGTTTCTCACCCTTCGTTTCTCCCCACAGCTGAGTTTAGTTTGCAATCATCTCCACCTGTATTTAAGCCTCAGTTCCCCACTTGTCTGTGTCAGGTTATCTTTTGTCTTTCCTAGAGGTGCATGTTTGTAGTTTGAAATTCCCAGTGCTGATTTTGGTAATCTTGTTTTTACTTCGTTGCCAGGCTCTCTTCCTTTTTGTTTCTACAAGAGCGTGTGGATTCTGCCTTTGCCTGTGCACCCTTTGTCTTGCATTAGTTTATTTTCCTAGTAAAAGATTCCAAACCTGGAAAGAAGTTTCTGTTGCCTTTTGCTCTCCACCTGAGTCAAAGTCCTGACCCCTCACACCTTGGGTTAGTCCTTTGAAAACTCCCGGAGAGTGTTTTTTGGGTGCATTTGAATATTGGCTTCTCCTTCAAACGTGTCTATTCCTGGATTGTCTGCTGCTGTAACCCAAAACCTCTCTATCTAATCTTTCCCTCACATTCCAATACATTCAATGCAGATACATTTGGCTTTATGCCTCAATGAGTGCATATAACATATGCATAGTTTATCTTCATCTTATAACTAGTACACTTTAATTACAACACACCATAAATAATCACACTTCATCATAAGGTTTAACACAGTTTGAGTGGTCCAATACTCAAGATATTTTCAAGTTGCTCCTCTACTACCTGACAGGAGAAACAAACTCTCAAAAAACCCTCTTTGGGGAGAAAATAGGGGGAAAACCATAAAGGACGGCAATTAGCATCCATCCCCAGGTTTTAACATCACATTGTGACAGAATGTTGATGTGTACAGTGTTTATACGATTTGCATGACTATACATTGTTATTTGATTCATATTCCATTCACTTCATCTACCATGCTAATGTAATAACTAATACCTAACATCACACAAACTACAATTCCACACTAAACATTACTACATGTATTATAATTTCTACCACTAGGTGTACACTTCTACTTAAATTCCTAACAAAACCCACAAAAAAGGAACCCAAGAGGAGCAATGTCGTGACATGTGGGAGAAATGGAAGATGTTGCACACATCAACGATTTTATATATATATATACACACGTCATGATAAAAAGGAATAAAACAGAAAATCTGCCCGATGATTCCTCCATTATTTGCCTACATAAACATAGAGCTATTAATCTCCTTGATTTCAGATTTATCCAAATCTAGAGATAAAGCATTTGGTATTTACTATAATTTTAGAAATGGAGGCGGGAGATGACAAAACACTTACCTGAGCTAAAGAAACATTATTGGGACTAGAGGGAAATATGACAGACTGTGAACTGCATGACATTTTATTTGATGAACTCATGTAAACTGCCAAAATGTCAAATAATTTATCAATAGAAGTTCAGGAAAGGGAAGATTTAGATCCTAATGCTCATTGCTGAAAGTTGAAAGAAGATTGAAAAGTAGTCATGCGCAGTTTGTAAGTAATTAAGGCATTTGACATATGTTTGCAAATTAGCTGCATTTTTAGCTTGAGTTTACTCAACCAAAACTGTCAAACTAATTCACCTCCCCAGAAACAAAATACATCAGCTTTGCCGCTATGAGGGCAGCAGCCCAGCTCTCCTCAGCGCCTTGTCCACACTGGGAATCAGTTTTTCTTGGAAGTCCCACAGTCGCTTGTCCTCATTCAGCTGCTTGAGCGTCAACGACCCACGCAGAGCCACTCGGACATGAATGACTCGACAAACGTCCATGGGAACCTTCAACTGTTGTCCAGAACTCTTGAGCACTTCATGCACTGAAGTCCACTCCACCAACCTGTGATGCACATACACACAAAAGGCTTTGATTGGACTTTCCTTTCCACCAGGCTGACCACATGTATTGAGACTTCTCACTACATGAGTGAAGCTAAACTTATTATTTATTTAACAAGAGCACAAAGTTGGTCCTGAATGAGTGTCAGCCTACCTCGGCTGAACGATCATCTTGTGCGGGTGGTATGACTGGCTGTCGGGGTCCTCCCTGTAGATGTGCTCCAGAATATTAACGCCCGGCACCCCGTTCCACTGAGGCAGGTGAAACCTCCCACTCGGCTCAAAATGTTTCTTCGGGAAGATGTGGTTCTCAATAAGGTACACACCTGTCTATATAATGGAATACACCACAAGATGTGGAGAGAATATAAATATGGATCAATATCAAATATAATCTTACGGTTCGAGTAATATTTTACAAATGGACACCAGAACAATCTCACATTTGGATGCTGTTGTTGGAGGACGTCCATCAGAGATGTGAGGTTGTTGTGTTTGTAAGGCATTATGATCTCGTCGATGTCGTTCAACAGCACGTAGCGTGAGCGGTCCATGGATCTGTAAATACATTCATTAAGTGTGGTCAACTGGCCGAAGTAGTGCACGTCCCCTCCGCTCTGTGAGAAGAGCCAACCAGGCGATGGATTCAGGTGCTGGTCGATGGGCCAGGGCACCATCTCCACGAAGCCCTCCTTGCTGTAGATCTGCAGCAGGCGATCGAGATCGGGGCCGCAGCTGGTGTTATAGATCACCACCCTGTCCACACCCAGTAACCTGTGGCCAGTTGAGGAAAAAAGGTCCAATTTATTACCGTCCACACACACTGCTGAGTACATCACAGTGACTAAGCCACTGCTGCACATGCAACAAGACCATTTTACCATTTATCTTTGGCCTTCGTCTACAACGTAATGTCTGTTGTTAAACAGAATGCAAAGTGTGCTGTGCTGACCTGTACATCTCCATGGTCTGTGCAACCTGAAGCACGTTGTTGTAGTTTCCAAACAGGTTGGAGATGCAAACTGTGAAGTTAAACGGCAACTTCTCTTTTTCCTTCCCATTGGATCTCTTATTTCTTATAGGAAGCCAGGGTTGGTCAACTAGCCGGACCTTTCCTGGCTGAGTCAAGAGATTGACATGTGTGGCGTTGCAGTTTTGGGGAATCTGACACATGACATCCGTAGTGACGTAGGGGAAACCAAAGTTGTCCGAGTGTTGTAAAATTGTTCCAGGAGTTGTACTTGATAACTGGCCTGCACAGCAGAAAACACAGTGCAGTTTTCGGATGGAGTCTCTCTTGAATATTCCAATGATGCGTACGTCCAAGCCATTCACTCTCTGGTCCATGTAGGCCGACACCAGCAAGTGCTTGGTGTTGTTGAGCGGGGTGATGCTTCGCTCAGAGATCTGCAAGGGGCAAGCGTACGGAGCCCTGTGTGGCGGTGGGATTATTCTGCCTGTCCTGGGTGTTCTCACCGTGATGCAGAGGATGAAGACGAGGACAGTAATGAAGAGGAAGAAGAACCTCCTTCTGACACCTTGTTGTTTGTCCATCCAGAACACAAATGTCACCGATTCCCAACCTTAGGGAGAATGCAGGAATCCGGAAAAATTTAATACCAAAATATGTCAGACATACAAGGAATTTGACCTGGCGGTTGGTGCATAACAGCAGACAGTTAGACAAAGGAGAACAAGACAGATAAAACAACATAGTGCAAGAGGAATAAAATAGAATATAATAAAATAGAAGTCTATAGGTTAGTTAAAAAATGAAAGAATAACCCTCTCTGCTGATTATTAAGAAAAAGGTTTCAGAAGACACATTTGAGAAACAAAGTTAACATAAAAGAACGAGAAGTGGAGGCAGGTTTCATTTCAAAACAGCAGGTTCCTTCTTTAGAACAGCATAAACCAATCTCAGTTGGGTATGTAGTTTGGTGAAGTTAGCAAGATATTCACATATTCAGACTTCACGGTTCAATAGCTTGTCAGTGAAACGTTGTTAAAACACAAACGACACCTCTCTGTAACTGTAGTGATGTCAAACACCAGCTAAAACCCTATTTAACCCTTATTTTACCAATATACGGACCAGTACAGGAGCTGTACAAATCACATTGATCTTAATGAAGTCGCCTATGAGACAAGTGCGCAGTGACCGTTTACAAAGTGCAATGCCGAAAAATATATGACAGAAATATTCAATAACTTCACTATAATGAATGGTAGCATCACCAAAGTCATTTTATATGTCCACGGGATTGTTCTTGTTGTACTACACCTGTTACTTTGATGAAGGTAGCTTTTGCATTATTTTAATTAACTTAATTCCAATGCAATGTAGTGCCATTTAGTTTCACAACCACGACCACTGGATCCTATTTGATTTCCAGAAACCAGAATATTTGTTAAGGAGCACTTTCATGAATTAATATATACACAAGATCTTATATTATCTAAAGGATTCTTCTTAAAATATATTGACCCAGCTGTCATTGGTTTGGTCAAACTAGTGCTCTTGTAAACCTACACTCACAGGCCACTTTAGTAGGTACACCTGTTCATTTGCTTGTAACACAAATTGGTATCACATGGCCGCAACTCAATGATGGTGGTATTTTTACGCATTGTACTTGGCAGACGGTCCCTTCCCACTCGCCTCAAAAGCGGCCGCACATTAAGACCAAAATTATAGTGATGGCATGTTCGGATCATTTTACCGACTCGCTTCTTTGAATCTCGTTCAGTAAAATGAACAAATCTTTTTTCGAGTCATTCGTTCATTTTCATTTTCGTTCATGGTAGGGGAAGGGTAAGCTAAATTCCGGCATTAAAATTCCCGACCGTGTCTTCGGGTCAATGTTTCGCTCATCTGCCGAACCTTCAGGTCAATGATTCGTTCATCGTTCATCGTTCATCGTTCATTTTTCAACCTTTGCATTCAACGAATCAATCTATGCAAGTGCCGATGTGTGGCCACGAGAAAATGAACAAATCTTTTTTTGAGAGGACTCGTTACTCTCGAGTCCTTGTAAGGATTCGTTCAAAATGAACGAATCGTTCACGAACAACACATCACTACAAAATGATTCGTCCAGCTCGCTGAGCGGTCTGTTTTGGTAAAATTGTGATTAATACGGGTTGTCGACATTAGTACGGTTACATAGAGGTGCTGTTCGTGTTTTAACGTCGTTTCGCTGACGAGCTATTGAACCGTGAAGTCGGAATCTATAAATATCTTGCTAACTTTACCGAACTCGGCTTTGAAGGGCTGCAGTTACAGTCGGTGTAAAATAAAATGAACTGTTCTTTTATTTTATTTTCCAATCTTTTCTAGAAAAAAAACAAAACAAAAACAAAAAAGGTATTAGCAAAGTATTCGTGAGAGTAAGAAAAGAGAATAATTAAAAAGCCCGTTTCAAAAGCTGTATTTATTCATCTTACATTCCTACATGTGTATAGTATATATACGGTGTAACGGACTGTTGTTTACGTGTTCTGTGAGCGAGTTACACATTTACGGAGTTTAAAAGTTCAGTGAAGGGCTCACAATATTTTATGTCAATGATGCCGCCATGTGTTGTGGGTGGATGAAGTAACGGAACGCGGGAGCCGACAGTACCCTGTTTTTTAATAAATCCTAATGAAGAGCAAGTAATTAAGCGAGGGTCGCTACAATAGTCAACATTAGTTAAAAACATTTTAACGTAAACTAAACTGTTTTTACTTTTAATTCCTTATAAGGCTTGTAGGTTTTTTACTTTGACGTCCAGACGGGGAGCATTCCTTATAAGGAAAATGCATACAACTTTACTGATTCATTTTGATTAATTTCTCATTTACTTTATTACCCCGAATAATGTGCATTTCTGTGGATTCTTCGTCTGAGATTCAAAAGTCGCTTCCGTTACTTGCATCGGGTTTCCGCGTGATCCCCTCAGAGCTGCTTCGGTACTTAACGGGAAACTTGTCTTACCGTAAAACATTACATCGGTCGAACACGTGATGCTCAGGTGCGACTCGTTGGATCCGCAGGACGAACAGTGGCGTGAGGGGAAATTTCCGAGGAAACCAAGTGAACTTCTAAGCTGTGTTTATTTCACGAGGGTGGGACACAAAACCGTATCTCGCTATTCCGGCCCGCGCACAGATAGACCCCTGGTGGTGCTCAAGCCCCAGCCCCCTTGCCTTCTGCTGGAGCACTAATTCTTTCTTCATTTATCAATATTTGAGAATACACAATTACTCTCTCTATCATCAATTCCCCCCAAATGTGTTTTGATATCTGACGGGCCATTTATTTGAGTTCTTGTGAGAATTTCGCCCCAACACGCTCACAGGCCCCGCCCCCCCACCTCCTCCCCCTCCTCCACCTCCTCCTCCGCTTCGTGCAGCGCTGAGCACCAAACGGATGCAGCATCGGACAAACGGGATGACGGTGTTTGTGAAATCCCGCGACGTTGTTTGGTGATAAATTAACCACATTAGCGCCGCTGAACACATTAGTCGCAACTGGTCCTGTTCTTTGTTTCTCTAAATCACCATAGCAACACATCGACAAACATGAACCTGCTCCGGAAGCAGGTTCATCTGCATCCATTTTGAGTTGTGATCATTATATATATATATATATATATATATATATATATATATATATATATATATATATATATATATATATATATATATATATATATATATTCTATTAATTCGTATGAATTTGAGTTGAGATCATTATTCTCATTAGATGATGATGCATCCACATGAAGCCTCCTGCAAGCAGGAGCCTCTACATTTGACCAACACGCATAACGTTAACTTGTGTGCGATACTTTGTCGGGCTTGTAGCCTCGCTAGGGGGCGCTGTCAGTTTTTGCCATGATTATATGATTCATTTAATTTTATTTTGTATCGCACAATATCGCAAATTTGCCTCAGAGATCTTTACAGTCTGTACACATGTGACATCCTCTGTCCAGAAACCCTCACATCGGCACAGGAAAAACTCCTTTATAGACACAGGACAATTCTACCGTTGACGGACAGACTGAGATGGACGTACAGAATGAACAATGTAAAATATGTATAATACATTAAATTCATCCGACCGAAATGATTCAAATTAGCATATTATCTCATCATATGTGTTCATGGTCATCTCCTGCTCGTCAGGGGAGAAAAAAACGCTCTTCCTTTAAGTTTATTTGCCGTCTGTTAAAAAATGCTGGTTTCGGTGATCAACTCTTCCGCCATCGTAAGACACGCGCGTACAATTATCCTGATCCTGCAAATCCCATGTAAATGAGCATCTTCAGGGCCATTGGGTTACTGTAAATGTTTTTTTCTAACTTTATTGAGAAATGAGCACAAAACAGCGAGTTGAAAGTAGCACAGCATCTTAAATAAAGAGATGCATCTTTCATCTCGGCAATTTCCTTCTTTGGCTAAATGCGAGACAAACCCGATCCATTAAAGGTTACATTTGATCCTTATTGAAGAGGATCTTCTCTATTCCCATGCATTTTTTCATGATGTTTTCCTGTACAGTACAGGAGAAAATTAAAGATAGTCAATATAAATAACATGATATTCGACAGCAGTCTTAATTCGCCCGTTGCTGTGCATTCACCACACACACGCTTAAATAAAAGATGGTTTGACTTACTAGATATCAGCATTCATGCGTGCAGGAGATAGTACAGCAGGCTTGTTATCTTTGCTTCTTTGTGATGAGGGGCGGCTGAAGGCAAAACGTTGTTTTTTTCTGATGGGAGTGCCAGTGTGGGCGTTTACCTTAATGAGATGATTCACAGAACAGATGAAATGTTTGACCACGTTTCATGACAAATCCTCTGATTGTTTTAGAGATTTTCCCATCTGGACCATTGACATTCACAGAAACAAAATAAAGCAGAAACATTTGATTTATATGCACTTCTTAGTATCTCAATTCCACGCTCCTAGCACAGCAGCCCTGCTGTCTTTAGCACTCAGCTCACATCTGGGATTGGCTTGTCATTAAAGTCCCAAAGTCCACTTGGATCTACTTCAAGAGGCTACTTTTATGATTTATAAAACACCTTTATTTTCTTATGTGTTGACCTTATATCTTCACCATAACATGAATTACCTTCACTGTGTGCAATAGTCCAAGGTCAAAATCGCCTGCAGAGAGTTTATTATGATTGTGTATGTATATTAAGATTATGTGCATAAACACTGACCATCGGACTTATTGTTAGACCTCGACCCATCTCTGGTGAAGGAGCTCTACAGTGACTGTTCAATAACTTCTTAAGAACGTTTGAGAATTTTGGGCATCGTTGTCAGGGAGGCTAAACTATTTTTTTGACCACCGTATTAAAGTATACAAAAGCAAATAAGGAATAATGAAACAAACTCACATGGAAGTCAAACAAGATACAGCATTAGAATCACTGGGAGAAAGTTACTAGTTAGCATTTACTCAAAACTGTACTTGGGTGTACTCCTAAAAGTACACACAATAATTAAAATGAGCTCCACCTCTAACGGCAGCAACAATGAAGTGACCGACATTTCCATTTACAAGCCCTTGTGTGGGACCACCTGTTACACACAGGTGGGGTTTTTCAGAGGAAGCTGATGCACGTGGTGCAGTTTGTGCCTGGCAGGCCGGGTATTTCTGAAACGTGAGAATCTATTTACACTAATGTTATCCTTTGTTCGTGGCTCACAAGCTTAAGGCAGCAACTGTTGGCAGACCAGCTGTGAGTCCACCCTGTGGACTATTTTTATTAAATCCGTTTTATTGTAACTTTTTCATCCAACTTTGTCCATCAAGTCGACCCAAAGAATTTGTCAACACAACAGCATTACCTAAAGAGATTCTAGCTATGTCGGTGTGAGGTAATCGTAGGAGAGCCAAATGGTTTGTAAAAAGCAGCTCTTTCTGTTTGTGTTCATTAAAACTTTTTCTTTTCGATATGACTTTAGGATTTAAACTCTAGAAGTATAATACAAACCCAGTTTTGTTGATGAGGATGGTTAGTATTGTTAGCTCTGGGGACTTATGCCATATTCCGAGATACAACGGATGGTTGTAATTAGAAGTGGTAATTAAAGTTAAAAAAAATCCACTCGCAGATTTCGCTACAGAGCGAACATTTTCAACATTGTCACATTTCATGACCAATCCTGATTGTTTTATAGATTTTCCCGTCTGGACCATTGACATTCATAGAACCAAAATATAGCAGAAACATTTGATTTATATGCACTTCTTAGTATCTCAATTCCTCTGCATATTTTTCCATCCATCAGCACAACAGCCCTGCTGTCTTTAGCCCTTAGCTCACATCTGGGATTGGCTTGTCATTAAAGTCCCAAAGTCCACTCGGATCTACTATCTACTACTACTATCTTCACCTATACCACAAATTACTTTTACTGTGTGCTTTTTGAATAGTCCATGGTCAAAGTCGCCTACAGAGAGCAAGATTATGTGCATAAACACTGACCATCGGACTTATTGTCAGACCTCGACCCATCTCTGGTGAAGGAGCTCTACAGTGACTGTTCAATAACTACTTCAACTATATAAAGTAAAGTATAAAGTAGAAGTTTGAGAGTTTTCACATCATTGTTGTTTTTCACAGGGAGGTTTCGAGGTATCGAACAGACTGTAAGCCAAAAACAGACTCATATTTATCCCTTGAACTATCTCACCGCTTGAAGACTGTATCCAAATCCCGGAAATGCAAACGGCACCCACTGAAAGAAAGGTCCTGCAGGTCTACTACCACATTTACACACTAAAGCTGGAAAAGCTGCTGTTTTTTTGCTTTATCTCGCGATCGTAGAGAAGAACTTAGAAAATGCTCTTGTAAAAATATCTACGCCCTGAGGAGTGTTTATCATGGTTTATTTGTAAGTTATGCCCGTTATTTTGAGTTTCACAGGCTGTGTTTCAGAAACAGGAGAGACGGAGCCACAGCTCTAGTGACATAAACCGCTCTTTGGCCAGTTTGTCAGGCAGATATCTCATTGTAAAAGTAAAGTTGGAAAACATTCAAGTCACATTGGCAGATGTTTACGCTCCACCTAACAGTGAGCTAAAGAAGAAACATTTAAGATGGACAAAGAAAGATTGGTCGAACTTCAACAACAACATAAAAAACAATTGCGAGTCCACACTGCTACCAAAGATTAAAGAAATTAGAGGCAATAAGCTACTAACTACAGAAATAGAAAAGAAAACAAGATTTCTTAAACAATCCTGCTGGAACCCAAAGCAAATTAACTACTGGCTAACAACAGGCAGACAGGACGTTCCATTGAATAATGGACACAGGAGTTGAAGGAAGGGAAATTCAAAACTTTGGAGAGGTAAATCTTGCAAGATATCTACTTGAACAGACATTGTCACCTGATTTACATTGGAGCTACGGTTTAAAGTGATAAGGTAATACAGATTCTCAGGTCTCTGGACAGCCTATGATACACATTTTACTGCAGGTATTTGCATTCAGAGGTTTAAATAATGGCTTCACTATGAACTGTAGTATCAACAACCAGCTCCAAGGAGCGTGCGCATATCTTATCTCATAATTTCGGCTTTCTAAGCCTTCTTTTCCAAACAGCCTAATTATTTCATGACTGATATATACTCTGATGCTCCATTATATGTACGTACTTTATTTTATTTTAAATGGGAGGAAACAAAAGCTTGATAGTAAAATACCTAACAGTCCTGTATTAAGTCATCAAGTCAGCTGCTGTTCCAATTGCCGAAATGACCGTTCTTCGTTCTCCCGTATGAGTCCATTCTCCTGAGGACGCAAGTCCGTTCTCGCCGTATTGAGAAAGGGCTGCTGGTGTCACTGAGGTGGAAATTGATGGAGAAGATATTTATAAGTGAGTCCTTAATGAAGATTCGTACGGGCATCTTGCCACCGCTGAGCACACAGTGTTCAGTTACACTGCCTTTGGTTTGAGGGCATCGTTTTAAGCGCTGTAATCAATTAATAGACCATACAAACAATATTTACTACTCTGTGTGCAGTATTGCCACTTTTGTTCACATCTTTCATCCAACGTATAAAAAGGAAAGCTGATAGGGCAGATATCCTTTTTTATAGGAATGATTCAATAAACACATGTCCCCAATCATGACATTTGAAGGTAGCATATTTATTCTTTAATGTCTTTAAGGGTTAAAGATTGTCTATTTATAAATGAGCTGTCAAGTTTTTAATGAGAATAATAATTACTACATTTAAATTGACAACATTTAGGGAATTTTATAATTTTACATTTCAAGACTCCCTCAAATGTATCTTCATTGG